CTCGGAAGGGCCAATCACCCCTCCCGCCAGGAAAGAAAGTGGACACGACCTTCTCCAGGAGCTGGGTGTCTAAACTCTTCGTGATCGGCGGGGTTTACGGGCAAAGTTTGCCCATTACTAGACGGTAAGGACGGACCCATGGATCCGCGTCGGTCGTTTTGAGGAGTTCAGTTCAGGCTCGGAACTTTGCCTTCTTGATAGCGGCTCTTAAGGCTTTGCGCGCTGCGCGGTAGCTCTCAAACGCCGCCTCCGTTGCTCGAGCTGCCTCGTCGCCAAGATGGAGTCGACGACGGGCATAAGTGTATTGATGGTGGGCTCGAATGTTCGTGGTCCGAAGGCCACCAATTTCCTCCAACCATCAATACACCGACTTCCGGTTTGGTGGTCCGCGAGAGCGTAGCATTGCTGCATTGCACAGCATGTTGAGAGTCCCGCGGAACCACCGAAGCTCCGCGGAAGTCACGCGGCGCAGCTGGTGGACATGGCCAAGCCGCAACCTAGACAGCGGCAGACAGAATACTAGGGTCCAGTTTGCGAAGGACCCACTCTTGGGAGCGGGATTTACATCCCACCCCGTGGCGACCCCGAGGGGGGCCAGAGAGTACGGAGACCCTCATCGTTATGTAACAATGATCTAAGAGAGTGTCCAAATCGACCCTGATCTTCCACTCAGACACACCTGTCACAGCGGACGGGAAAGCAAAGGTCACATCTACGATAGACCTCCCGTTACGTCTAACGCACGTGTGCTGCGTACTTTTATTGAAAACGGTAAGGCCGCAGACCGCCACACAATCTTTAACGGCCTTTCCACGCACTTCAGTCCTAAGGAAGCCCCAAGTTCCCGACTTAGCGTTAAAGTCTCTCAAGACCAGGAAAGGACGAGTCTGGTAACGGTGTATCACTCACTCCAGCCCGCTCAAATGCACCTCAAACTTGTGGAAAGGCTTTGTGGGTGAGAAATAACACCCGGCAACGGCCAATTTTCTCCATTCAACTACTACGTAACCTTCTCTCCTCTCTAGAGGAGAGAAAATAGTTGACTCCGGCTTAGAACCCTACCGAAAGAACACGGCGACCGAGCCGTCCTCGGATCCTAACAACGACGGATGGTCGGGAAGGGAGTAGGGCTCGGCCGCTACCGCCAATGTTCCACCGAGCTCCGTGAGGCTTTGGACCACAAGGTCCTGGGCCTCACGGGCTTGATTGAGATTACCCTGGAGAAGGAACGCCATTACGAGACGTCCATTTCTTTTTTCTTCGGAGCACCGCTCTTAGAAGGGGAGGGAGGTGCATTCCCCTCGCTATTACTCACCGAGACGCTGGGCTTGACAGTGGAAGTTCCTCCGGACTGAGTGGGCTAGGTGCCACTCTGTTTTGCGGCCTTGGAAGCCCGCTTGCCCTTGCCGGGGGCCGGGGCACACGCTCTACCCCCCAGGCGGTAGTTCGCGAGACGATCAATGTTTGCACACAATGGGCACTTGGGTGCCGACTTGGAACATGTCGACACCCTGTGGCCCCGGTCGCCGCACCGATAACAGCGACTCCTCCGGTCTTTCTTTGGAGCGATGTATGTGCACGCTGACTCACGTGCCCGCGCCGAAGACACCTATGGCACTGGAGGGGTCGTCTCTCCAGCACCTCAACGGGTGCTCTCAGCCCACTCGTATGGCCTCAGCTGTCACGACCTTTTGGGCCGCAACTAGGGGGCACTGCACCCACGCAGTAAACAGTCCACCGGGAGAAACACGTGTTTGGCCGACCTTTACATCGGTCGGTCGACAGCCGACGATGGATGCCACCGCGTCCCTCACCTCATTGGGGGGGATTGACTTGTCGAGGCCACGAACCCGTATATCTACGGTTTTAATGGGCCTCGCGATTCTTCCCTCCCTTTTCTGTGATCAGGAGGAGCATAGCTTCGTAAAGCTTATCCGCCCTGGTTTTGCTGTCTGCATCAGGAACCTCGAGAATTAAGTCCCGGTGAGCGCCTCCTTGAGCGGAGGTCCGTTATGCCGAGGGGCTCTAAGGCCACTTTGTTCCGAACATACTGTAGGACCTCCCCCAGAAAACCCGTGGCTGCTCCTTCTGGGGCAGTGAGGACAACCGCCGCTAAACGGAAGCGGCCTCTCCAGCTTAGGTTTGGGAGGGGTGGACTTAGCCGTTCCCGCTCCCGGTAGTTCTTTCTTCTTCTTACGTCCCACCACCTGGGACCATGTGTCCTTCGTGGTGGTGAGAACAGAGGGCTGGTAGGAAGACGGTGGAGGGCCGGATGTAGGCGTGGGTGCCTGGAGAGTGGCCTTGGCCGTCTCCTCGTTCTCCGGCCGTGGTCCACCGCCGTCTCCCTTCTTGCCCTTTTTCTTCTTCTTTGCCTCCTTGCTGAGGACCTTATCTACTGCTGAAGCAGAGAGCAGGGACGTCGGTGCTTTTGTTGCGCAAATCGTAACGGGACCGCTGCGTCCCACTTCTACCGCAGCACCACCCTCTAGCCTCCCTTGGGATTCACCCCACAAAGAAGGACGGACGGACAGGCGATGCACGACCTGTTTGTAAAACACGGACAATTTCTCCGTTATCTGTCTGTCCATCTCCCTGCGGTAAACTTTAAATAGGGATTCAATATCTTTGAGTCCCACTGGCTGCACCGCAGGGTGTTCCTCGTCACTCCGCCGAGTGCTTACACCCGGCAGAAAACTCGCTGCCTTATTGCTCACCTCTCTCTCCCTCTCCGGAGAGAGAGAGGTCCATTTCCCGATCGGACTCCGGACTTGGATTTCGGGAAGGTTCCGGTCGGATCTTGGACCGTCGCGGCCTAGGCTCCCGCTGCGGGAACAGGGGTGACTTTTCCGCCGCGGCGGGTGTTTTAAACTTTGCCACTTTCAGCGAAGTCCATTCCCGCCGCATGTCACGCAATTTGTCATGAAGCGCGTCAACCTCGCGCTTCAGGACGACATTCTCTCGGGAGACACTGTCCAATTTTGTTTCGCGTCTCTGTCGGACCTCAAGGAAGCGACCGTCGTGCGCAGCTCGGTGACTTCATCATGGAGCTGCCTGTTTTGTCCCTCCGCTGGATTTCTCCCTCAGTGTCCATTTGGCTGGCAAGGATTCGAACGGCCTCCTCCATGTTTACCGCTGCCTCCTTGAGGTTTTTGATGTACGTGCTTTTCAACCTTTTTGACGTCACAGCCATCCTCACTACGGATGCCGCCAATCTTCCAGATTGTCGCACAATCTGGGACGTAGACATATTCTAGACAATAATCTCCGGGATTGGGAGTGAACCCCGTAGTGGTGGTCGTTCGGGCTGAGAAGAAGGGAGAGGCGCAGAGCCAGACGACCGAGTTGCCATCTTGATAGCCTCGAAGTCGTCGGCGAGCTCGCGTTCTGCCCGCAGCTCCAGCTCCCCTTCCTCCTGCTCGTTCAACTTACGCTTGGCCTCTGCTAAGCCTACATACTTTCCACTGGTAGGTCTGCCTCTTTCTTTTTTTCTTTTATCTCCCGGGGTGGGAACTTTACGAGAAGAGGGACCCCACCCCGGGGGATGTTGGGACTTTTGCTCCGGTCAGGCCCTACATCCGCTCACAGCAACGACTTCGACTTCCATGTCGGAGTAGTCCTGCGGCAATGATGTAACGACGGCGTCGGACGGAAGCCTATCGCAACTGCGCGAAGGCCCTGGCCGTTGTTCGCTCAACGACAAGGCAGGATGTTGGTTGCCTCTGCCGTTTTCACCCTCCGAGTCATCTGAGGACTACAGTTTGCCACGAGGGCGACCACTGCGAGACTCGGACGGCTATTCCTCTCTGCGACCCGCCGGACCTTTGCGGGGCGAATATGGGGGAATCGCTCTTTTCTTCAGTTGGTGGAGTATCACCGATCGTCGCAGGCACAGTATCTCGCGCCACCCCTGCGGGGTAAGCGACGCAGAGCCCGTCGTGTGATGACGACGAGAGGGAGCCAGGGACGGTAACTCCCTTACGCCTTTGTCAGGGTTTACTCCCCTAGTCCGATTGCATCGTGGCTGATAAGGTTGGACGTCTCCGGATTTGAAGTCAGAGTTTTTCCCCAGTTGCCCTCGCATATGGGGCTAAGTGGAGCTGAGAACTCCCGGTTTTTGTTTGAGGTTTTCCTTTCTCTATTCTCTCTCTTAGTACAGGAGCTCCATGAAGGCTTTCTTGGCATGGGTGACCCTGCCAGGGAATCAAGGATTCCTTGCTAGTATAGCCTCTTGCTTCACCGCTCCTAAGCCCGGGCACCACGTCAAGATGAAGAGAAACCGCCCAGGATGCTAACCTAATCTTTTTTTTATACGTAGTGGAAATCATTACGGATACCCTGACCTCCGGGGAAAAAAATCAGGATTATGTGGGATTCCCCCTTCTTTCCGCAAAAAAAAGGGGTATACCCACTAAAACCATTACGGTGTGTCGCTACTCGGCCCTTGGGGGGGAAGGACCCAAAAATTTCTGTCAGAAGATGCGCGCAGGTTCTTTCCTCGGGCTTAGGAGGAGGGAGGAGTTCCTTCTCCCATTTGATTCCTCGTGATTTTGGTGACACCGCAGGACACACTGCAATGCCACCCTTTCCGGGACAGCGTGCAGGACCGCTCGCACACGGCCCGAAAGTCCCCAGCGAAGGATAGAAGCGCGCTCTCGCTCCTTCTCGGCAGCCTCCTTCTGCTCCATCACAACGGAACAAAAGGAGACCACCGCTCTCCACTTTTCCTCTTCCCCGGAAGCAAGTGCATTAAGAAAGCCCTCCAGGGAAAGGTTGTCTTCAATATTGGCAGCCAGCTCTCGGCGGTTGTCTGCCCACCGTGGACATTCCTCCACGGTGTGCTTTACCGAGTCGCTGGCTGCCCCACACTCATGGCACTGTGCCGTTGGCTCTTTGCCTATGCGACACAGGTACTCACCGACGCAACCATGCCCGGTGAGTACTTGTGTTACCCCGTAGGTACGGTGTCCAACCCCGTTCTGTAACCACACCTCCAGGTGAGGTCAGACCACCGCGACAACTTCTTGGACTGTCGCACGGGGCTCATCCAAGTGCTGCTCCCAATCCAGAAGCAGCTGTTGTCGGGCCTGGCGCTCCAAGTTGGCGAGGGCCTCCCGCGAGGTGTTCTCTGCCAGATCTTCCTGTAGCGATTCGACGCGGCGAGCATATCTCGTCGCGTACATTTTTGCCAAGAGGGCCAGAGGAGGTACCCCCGCCAGCACACTCGCCGTCTCCGTGGCTACGTCTCGGAAGCCGCAGATAACGCGCAGAGCAATCGTCCTTTGCGCGGCGCGGAGCTGGGCAAACTTGCTCTGCGCTCCTGCCTCTGCTGCAACTCCCGCACAGAACGGTGCCCCATATAGAGCCACCGCGTGGACCACGTTGACACAGAGACGACGGGCTTTCTGCTTTGGCCCCCGAGGTTCGGCAATAGCCGGGCCAGGAAATTGGCCACTTGGCGAATCCGGGGGGGCCAGACGAGCAAAGTGCTCGTTGAATCGCAACTTTGGATCAAGATGTATACCCAGATATTTGATGGTTGTACCCACCTCGACCCTTGCCTCACTTACTCGGAGGCTGGTGTCTCTTGGCCGTCTACAACATGGTCTCCGTCTTGTGAACTTGGAGACAATCTTCGTGTCTTCTCCCAATCTGCTCCAAAGGCCACAACAAGAGTGTTATCCGCATAGCAGATGACGCTCAGGCCTCTGGGCAGAGCGGCCTGGATTACTACATTGTACCCGAGGTCTCATAATAAGAGGCCTAGCACGGACCCCTGGGGAACTCCGCGGTATATCTCCTTCTCGTGTGGTATAACCGAGTACTGTATCCAGTGTACTGTATTCTCCTGTCACGGAAGTAGTCTTCAAGGATTCTCTTAAATAGGGTGGGACTCCGTGATGGTTGAAAGCCCATCTTATGCTGTTCCAGGGAAGGGAGTCAAAAGCGTTGGAGATGTCCAACGACACCGCCAACGCCCTCCCCCCTCTCTGCCTGACCAACGCGTCCGTGAGGGACTTTAACCGAGAGACGGCATCTACCGTTGATCGCCCCTCACAGAATCCGTACTGGCAGTCGGCCGGGTCGGGACTTATCCGTGACAGATGCTTGACGAGACAAACGGCAATTACACGCTCCAAGAGTGCCTCGTCGAACAAACATATTGGCCGGTACGCAAACGGAGAGTCCGCAGGCCTACCTTCCTTGCGGAGGAGAACGAGATTGGCCTTCTTCCACTCCGGGGGGAACCAGCTTGTCCTCAGGCAGTCTGTAAAGATCTGTCTGAGGCGGTCTCTCAGGGGACCCTGTCCAAAGGCAAAGCCCAGCACCTTACCGGGCACGCCGTCGGGACCGGAAGCGATATTCTTCCGCGTCATCCGACGGACGTCCCGGCGGAGTTCCTCTTCCGTGACCTCCAGGTCAGTGGACCACTCTGCCACGTGGTCCAACTCAGGCTCCCGAAATGGCCACTCACCCCTCCCGTCAGGCAAAAGGGTGGACACAACTCTCTCGAGGAGCTGGGGGTCAAGACTCTCGGTAATCGGGGGCGTCCAAGGCCGAAGCTTGTTCATCATAAGCCGATATGGGCGCCCACACGGATCCGCGTCTAGAGTCTCCATGAGCTCCTTCCACGCTTGAGACTTTGCCTTGTTGACAGCGGCTCTAAAGGCTTTGCGTACTGCGCAGTAGTCCTTGTGCACTGCTTTTGTTGCTCGGACCGCCTCGTCGTCACCCGGGAGTCGACGATGGGCGTGGATGCACCGGTGGTTGGCACGGACGCACTTGGCCCTTAGGCCAGCGATTTCGTCCGTTTATCAGTACACCGACCTCCGATTTGGTGGTTCTTGGAAGTGTGGCATTGCGATATCGCAAATAGCAATCGACGTTTCCTGGAACCACCGAAGTTCTGCTCGGAGGTCACGCGGCTCGGTCGGTGAAGCTGGCCAAGCCGCGATCTGAGCAGCACCGGACAGGAAACGTGGGTCCAGTTTCTTTAGGACTTACCCCTGGGACAGTGACTTCCTTCTCGCCCAACGGCGACCTTGCTGGCGGACAGGGAGCACTTTGATGCTCATGGTTATATACCTATGATCCAAGAGGGTTTCTATGTCATTCCTGACACGCCACTCGGACACACCGCGCGCAGCCAACAGAGGGGAAGCGAACGTAACGTCCACGACGGACCCCCCCGCTACAACTAACGCAGGTGTGCTGCGAGCCCTCGTTGACTACAGAGAGCCCGCAGGCCGCCAGCATGTCCTCGAGTGCGGGAGGATCCCGATAACCAAGATTTTTTTAGCACAGATCAACAGTTGCACAGATCCCGTTTGCACAGAAAACTTTTGTACAAATCCCGATTGCACAGACATATTATAGATTAGTTTAGGTTAGATTTTTCGGAAAGGGGGTGCAGAGAGAGGGGCGGAGCCCCTCCCTTGCCCACATATGTACTATATCTGTGTGATATTGTTACGCCCTGGCCCACGGTTACGGTCGGGCTATGGTGGAGCAACAGAGAGCTGCCGTTTTTCTGTCTATCTCCGCACAGCAGGTTGGCGATCCCGCTGCGACAGAGTCGAGCGAGTTTGTGTGCTTTCACAGATAAGTCAACGGCGTATGCTGATTTTACTCTATCCTATGAGGCCCCGCTCGTCGGTCTCTTATGGAGTCTGGAGAATTAACTCCACGAACTAAGGACGAAACCGTGCAATCGATTGAGGATGTGGAATGATGAGAGATTGTCTTAATTAAACGGAAAAATTATGCTACGTACATTATTAATTTATTCATTTAACGGTATTACAATTTTTAGATGCGTAATCGTGTGGATGAATGTGATATCGCAAACTTTACACTGAGGCGGAGGGTCATCGCTCGGAGGCTAGAGAGGGGAAATATATATATGTGTGTGTGTGCGTGACGCGATGTGTGTGTGAGGGGCCTCCGGCGGGGTTTTACAGGTGTAAGAATGTCGGATGCATATTTAAAACGCCGATCCGTGGTATAAAGATCATTCCAGATCTATTTCGATTATTTCATGGATTTTTACAGAACTAGAGGGGAATATAGTATAACAATGATGGACGGGAACTAAACGGATGTCATCTATATAAGGGAATTTAACTGGGAAGAGTTTTCTGGATGGAGTGGTGGTTATCACCCGGAAGATGTCGGAAGGATTTGTTGTTAGAGGGTCAAGGACAAAGGGGATTCTTTCCGGATTTGCTTTTTTATAGGTGAAGGCTAATCGGAGGAAGTGTTGTAATCTAGGATTGAGCGGAGCAGTGGTTGATCGTGTCGAATCGGAGGATTCATTATTCGCGGGTTCATCTCTGGATGTAGATGGTTGAGGGGAAGGAGAGCGAGGAGGAGGTGGAGGAGTCGGCGCGGATTGCAGATCCGCGGGATTTTCTGCGGGACAAGCGGGTTCGGAGTGCGAAAGAGGGAGCGAAGAGGTGAAGGGGGCGGATTGTTCACGGGCGAACAAGGAGAAGATTGAACGTCTGCGGGAGGATTGGGGGTTATTGGCAGCACTGTTACGGACACCCATGCCAAGCTTCTGCTTATCAACTTCATTCACCTTTCATTTATCTTTATGACAGTGATTTCTTTACATCAAGTTTTTACGTCGCGGCGATTTTTACAATGGATTCAAAACTTGAACAACGTTCTTGCATTAAATTTTGCTATAAAAATAAAATTAAATGTTACAAAAGTGTTATGGTGACAATACTCTATCGAAAACACAGGTATACCAGTGGTATGAACGCTTTAAAAGTGGTCGTGAGGCTGTTGAGGACGATGCTCGTCCTGGGAGGCCATCGACATCAAAAACTAATGAAAACGTCGATGAAATCCGACGATTGTTGATCGAAAATCGCAAATTGACGATAAGAGAGATAGCTGAGACCACCAACATATCATTCGGATCCGTTCAGAGCATTTTGCGTGAGGATTTGGATCTGAGGCGAGTCACTGCGAGATTGGTGCCAAAAGAACTGAATTTCGTGCAAAAATTCTCGTGAGTTTCTCGTCAAAAACAACACTAATACCATTCAACAACCGCCCAATTTACCTGATCTCGCACCATGTGACTTCTTTCTATTCGATCGACTCAAAAAATCACTACGAGAAACTCGTTTTGAGTGTGGAGGCAATAAAGCTAAAATTGCTGGAGGCACTAATGGCTATACCAAAAACCGACTTCCAGAAAAGCTTCGAGGGGTGGATCAAACGCTGGCACAAGTGCATCGCAGCCGACGGAGACTACTTTGAAGGGGACAACTTTAATTTTAAAGAATAAACATGTACTTTTCTTTTTATGAATAAATTTCGGTTATTTTTTGATCATGGTAGTAAATAGATTTAAAAAGTTTGTTTATACGGATTGTGATTTTATTCCTAAAGTGTTTGTATAAAATACAAAGTGTTTACAGTAAACTAAACTTTGTACAATCAGGCGTGCGTGGAATATTAAAAGATTCTCGTGCCAACCTGTAGAAAGAAAAAAAGAAAAGGGTTTATTGTAATATATGGAGATAAATATATACACATTATTCAATTATACTGTGGTCTGTGTGTTTGTTAACATCAAATCCAACGTTTCCTGTTCTTTGAAATCCTGGTGGTGATATCCGACGTTCCTCGAGTCCTGGACACCATCTGCAGCGAAAAAGGATATATTACCTTGGTGTTTAAAAGGTCAAAACACCTGGCGTCCGTGGTGGCTTGTTACAGTAACGTGAGTACTCGATTCCCTCTTGTCTAACCCCGGTCACAACTAACTTAACCTAACCACAGTATATACAGTAGCGAAACTCCTAGTCGGTATCTTTGATGTCAGTGAAGCCAGCAATAGCGCGCACGCGCGACGTTGGCTAGTTTATATGGTAACGCCATCTGAACTTCTCTCTTACTTCATCTTTTATCTACCTTTGCTCTCTCTTTCTAACTCTTTAGTAGAGTAGAGAACTGGAAGT